GCGGGGGAAGCTGCGGGGGAAGCTACAAGGTGACGACCATCATCATCTGAATTTGACCTTTCTATGATGTCGTATTTAACTAAAGTGTCCAGTATATCTCTCATGTGCATCTTCATTTCTTGGGACAAAAAGTAAACTTTTCTAAAGTGAGGAAGTGTCTCTCCTTCCTTAAGTTGGATATTATATAGTCCTAAACTATGAGATAAATCTCCAATATCAAACTGATGCAAGCTTACTATCTCAGGATATTTTTCAATAAATATTGACTTAATATAGGGCTGATGTTCCTTTTCAAAACTTTGCAAATCTACAATATCATGGATTGTGGTTCCAAGGTTTGTAGGTAAGGAATATCCTGACGGGGCTAGTATATCTGGAGGAATAGGTTCCTCTTCTAATTCATTGTCATTTTCTTCTTCATCATATTCACATTTCTTACTTTGAAGTTCTTTTCTAAACTTTTCCTTTTCTTGCAAAGAAATCTTACTTTTATGATAATTTTCTACTTTTTCTAAAACTTCGCTAGTTCCTAACTGATTTTTCTCTGGATTATCATTATAAGTGTTCTTATAATTTGATTCATGAGGGGTCAACAATAAAAATGAAGTAAGAGGCGTTAACTTTTCTTTACTTGGAGGCATTTTTTGCATGAGTTTTAAGGTTTTGAAATCTTTTAACGGAGGTCCTTCTGGTACGGAAATAACTTCATTAAAAACTGTGTTTTCTTCTGGAAGCAAATCAAACTCGTCACGTTTTGAAATAATTTCTGTTCCGTGTAAACTTTCTACTTTTGCGCGAACAGTCCCTTTAAATTTGCGCGATGAAATGTTTGTAAGGTGCGCAACTAATGGTGCTTTACTATTTAAATAAGACGTGCAGCGTGACGGAAAAATGTAAATTGAAGGTTGATCACTTTCCGAGATTAAAACACTTTCTCCATCTATGAGATAATGAACTTCTCCGGGATGAAATACAACTGTTTTCATTTCAAAAGGTGGAATTTCTACCGTAGCTGAACACATATTTGTACAACTAGGCTTACTCAAATATCCAGGTACATTTAATTTCGATGGATATATCAGAGGCAAACTATTTATTCCTGCTCTTATAAGGGAAAATTTTATATCCATGCCAAGAAATTCCAAATGTTTAAAACCTATAACCAAAGGCAGGTCATGAGGACCGTTAAATACATAAAACTCAAGTTCAACTGACGGGGCATTGGGTGAAAAACTCCAAGACAACATAATAGTGTATGCTATTTGCAACGAATCTCCTGTAAATGAAACTACGCTAATTTTACAGGGCGTCTTCCTCTTTTCTATTTCTTGGGGGCTTAACAATCTACACAACAAAGGTTGGTGTATTAAAGAAATATCTGATCCAGAATCAGGGGAACAAAATACAGGGGTTCTCACTTTGGGCGAGATGACAAGAAAGGCTTTAAAATAAAGTTTTGTTCCTTGCTTAGTTTTATGAGTTTGGGTCACATCGTGATACATCAATTTCTCATTTGTTCTTTGCTTTCTAATTATGTGATATATGGATAATGCATTTATTNGGATCATTAACAATTTCTACATCTCTTTCTTCTAAGGCAATTTTCATAGACACATCGTCATGGTCTGGGTTTTGAAAGAGTGTGCTAATCTCATCGAGATTTTCAGTCGACTGGTTTCTACTATTATTTCTTGATTTGAACATTTTCTTTCTTTGCTTAGAACTTTCTTTTAACTTTCTTAGTTAAAACTTAATAATGCTGGCGAACTTTGCTCTATATTTCTATACTCCTTGTATATCCTATGCCAAATCTACGTTTGCTTTCTCTAGCAAAACTAATACTGTTTAATTATACAACAGTTGTTCTAAGTCTTTTGATCCTTTTCTTGTGAGAGTTTCTTTGCTTTTTTACTACTGAGTTAAAACTGCTTGTTATCAGAGCAGTGATTTGGACTTATATATAGAGCTCTAGTGTATCCTTCCTTGCTGTTTATCTCTTCAAACAGACTTTCTATGAAACCCTAACTTGGTTCCTATGCTTACAATCCTCCCTGTGAATACCTTTCTATACACAGCTCAGACTTTTATCTATTTTTTGAAACCCTAAAACTCGGTTTCTGTGCCTACAATCTTCCCTGTGATTACCCTTCTAAACACAGCTCAGATTACTTTGAGTTGCTTAACCTTAAAGTAAAACCTGCTGTCCTTTCACTAACAGTTCTACTTTCTTGCCAGACTTATACAGTTCAAATCTACTTTCTTTTATTTTTTAACGTGCACTAATATTTTAGGAATTCCTTTCAAACTCAAAGATTTTCAAAGACGAAACGTGCCTTTCGTTTCTCTTTTTAGGAAATAAAACTTTCTTAAGTTTTTCCTTTCTTTTCGGTTAAGCTAAATTTACGATAGGAAGTTATTTATATCGAACACCTTTTCGATATAACTATTATTTGACGACAGACTAGTTTGTTTGGTCAAATACAATTTCGTGATATATGTAAGCAGATACACTAGAATTACACTTCCTATAATAGCACGGGCACACACGGCTATACACATACAATCCCAAGGGTTTTTATATATTTGTTGGTTGCTAGAATCTTATTTTTTAAATATGATGCCTAATATTTAATATAAATAAGTGTATCCTCCCCTTGCTCAAAAATTTAAATAAACAAATCGCGACTTAAGTTTACGTAAAAATGTAACAATGGGTTGATTGATGTATTGATCTAAGTGAAGGTTAGGATAGGAATGTATTGAATAATCAATAACTCTACACACTGTAAGATTAATAGGATTTAAAGGGTATATACGGCTGTACTCATACACATGCATTTAAATTAGTTCCTTTTCGTTTCATTAAAATTATAGGGCATTAAGGTTAATATTTTATCGTCTTCCATGTACTAGAATGCCGTGTTACATTCTCTAATATTTCTGTCGGAAATTTTCAAAATAAATAAAAACAAGATGGAACGACGTAAGTTTCAACTTTCTTAAAACATTCTTCTTTTATTAATGGTGAAGTTTAATGAAACCTTGTTTCATTACGGGCCTTTTATATATACGTGTTATATATTATACTTATTATTTTCCTCTTTCTTTGGTTCAATTTCAGCCTTATTTAATTTTGTATAAGTTTAGTGATACTTTCGATCTTAACATTTTGTATGTGATATATATATATATTCTTAGCGTACTCTTAATTATTTATCTATTTTAACAAAATGGTAACCTGGGTTTGTTTCAGATGTAATTGCTCTCTGCGCGATTCTTTAATCTCGACTTCCTGAAGATTTACCATTTTCTCCACACCTATCTAGTGCTTCCTATTGATATCCAGACCAGTTGAATCTCGGTTCGACATGAGTTTGTGGCTGAACAGGTTGCGCAACACTCGTTTGCAAGAGCTTTTGGGAGCACCTCCACGAGTTATTATGGGCGAGGTGGACGATGAGCGCCCTGCTGATGAGAGATCCCTTGTACTTCTAGTTGTTGAAGCTGTCGAAGTTACCGAAAACGCCGAGGATGGTGAGGATCGTGTCCTGGAGATAGTTTTCGGTTCTCTGGTTGCCTTGGTGGTTGCTGGAACAATCGTCTATGTTAGTCTGTTGAGATATTTCCCTAATCAGATGAGACGGTTTGAAGCATTTTCTGTGGATGCTGCTCGTGCTGTGGTTCAGGTAAAATTTAGCTTTTGTGGTTATTCTTATGTATCTTTCTTTCGTAGTGTTGTAATTGGAATTATTCTTTTCTTGGTTCCTATAGTTTTTTGTATTTGCAGGTGGTGAATCGCTGCCAGAGGGTTCGAAGAGATGAAGTTGTTCCTGGTTCTCAAGCTAGAGACGAAACCGATTCAAGTCTCTCTTCTATGTTCTCTTGGAGTTCAAGCTCTGTAACTACAGTGACTTCAAATAGCTCTTTGGTTCAGGTTCATCATCAGGAGCAATATGAACTTCGTGAGGTTCATCTACTGCAGCCGGTCATCAATAATGTCTACCAGGAGTCTGGTGACGACGGGCCTAAACCTGAAGTTGTATCCAATGAAGTTTCGGTACCGAGGGAGGGAGGACTGCGTCCGTTCAATCCTCCGTTGGTTAGCAGTCCTATACCGCTGGATTCTGTTTCTGAGGCTGATGAGGGTTCTTCTTCTGAAGACCTTTTTTCAACTCCGGTAAATCGGATTTTGATCATCTCTAATAGCTATCGGAGCGAGTTGGCTCAGTCCTTCCAGTCTCAATTGGCTCAGGATTTATCTGTTTCTGGTGATTATGACATCTCAGATCTTTGGCCAGAATCTGTTGATCAGAACACAGTTGAACGGGTAAGCAAATTTTTTAGACAAATTTCCTGCATGAATTTTTTTTGATATATGTGGCTTTTAGTAAAAATCTTAAACACCCAAAAAAAATTAAAAATTTGTGCGTGTGACTAAATGTGTTCTCAATAAGTAAGAAAAATATTTTTATTTGCTTGTCCTTAGGGAGTTGCTGAAGCTGTTAATCAGAACCAGTCTGGTGTTGATCTTCCTGATCTACCAGAATCTGAGGCTGAGGTTGCTCCAGGGATCAATAGTGAGGTTGCTACAGGATATCCAGAAAGGCCTCCTCCGCTTCGCAGGAGTCTTCGTCGATCAATCATGCCTGACAGGTTTCAACCTTATTAAACCTGAAATGCTGATTATTCTCTACAAAATATATATATATATCTAAGAGTCTATACCCGTATAGATTCCGAAGTTTTCTTAGTTTACCTATTATATATTTTCCAATGCCAAAATTTATGCATACCAAAATTTTTCTTTTCTTTACCAAAAATACTTTAAATACAAACAGTGCTCTGTGATAATTTTTGGTGATATCCAATAGTTCAAAGTTCTTATATGTAAGCTTAACACTTAGAACACTTAGAAAACATTATTTAAACCTGTTATGTATCCCTGTGTTTATTGTTCTCTGGGTCTTGGGACGCTAAGACCTTGTTTATTGTAAAACTACCGTATGTACTGTAAAATAATGTATCTCATGAGCTGTGAAAATCTACGGATTTGTTTTAAATTTGTTTCCGGAATCAAATATATACTACAACAGCTAATATCTCGTTTAAAATATATGTGCGTTACTAACTTATTTACTTGTAAAACACTTGTTTAGTTATCATCTGTATTTTTTTTTATTTTTTTTTAAAAACAATTTTACCAGATATGACACTGAGTACAATAGACGGGGTGTATACAATTACTTCATCACATTATTACAACTTATACAATATTTAGATTTGTTTGCGTAAAAATTCTTTTTACTTAGTTTAACCTTTTAAAAATAATTTAAATCGTGCAGATATTTAGGTTAAATTTTTTTTCTTTGCATTTTCAATTTTTCTTACATTTCATTCTCATTTCAACTTATACACAGTTTTGTAATTCGTTTAAAGGCCTGTTCCTTTCGTTGTGACTTTCTTGGTCATTATTCATACATTCAAACTTGAAAATTTTGAATTTTTTTCACAATTTTACATTTCAATACAATTTTCATATTTTTTAAAAGAATTTTGTTCAGTGTTGGTTTGGTCTTGCAAAACGGATCCCTTCCTGAAAATAAAAGAGGCTTTTATTTTTGCTACACTGCAACTAGACGTACTTGTCCTCTTTTATTTTGCAAAGCGAAATTTTGTGTAATCTCAGGGGCTTTAGTTCTAAAAATAACTGTGGTTATCCCGGATGCTATGATAACAATTGCGAGCAAATTCCCAAGTAACAAAATAATATACTTCTCAGGGTTTGTTTTCAAATCAAACAGGGGATCCATAAAAGCTATTAGATCGGGGTTAGAAATACCGGAGTAAATCACTTCCTTTTTGAAACCTGAGGGACCAAACTTATATGACTTATCAACATTTTCTATTTCTAAAGTCAAAGGTGATCTAATAATGATAGACAACAATGGATTGGGATTTTCTATTTGCAACAATCTCTTTTCTTTAGTTTCAAAATTTTGTTCATAAATATTTGCATACCGCGGGACCACAATACCAGATAACGACAAAAATGGCTCAAAATTTGTGTTTCTTAACATGTTACATTCTCTAAAAGTGTTTTTTACATCATTTTCCGCAATCAACGTCATACAAACTGTTGAGACAGGAATAATTTCGCATTTTTTATGATTTAAAAGTTGCGTGCATTAGTTATTCTGAAGAAAGAACTCTTCTCCTCCCATACGGTGAATAATAGACGAGGTTCGGGCTTGGTCTGTTAGCTGAAAACAGTTTTCAAAGATCTAAAAATATATAACATATATCTAATGTTTTCCCCTATTTCTTTCTAGATCTTACAATCCTTCTATGGTTCTAAACTAGCTAGAACATGCTGTGGTCACACTGCATCAGCGTCATGTGCTAAATTGGTGTCTATTCTGAACCAATAGAAACAGTATGACGGTAACATCTTTCTATCTATATCATCATCCAATAAGAGATGAATCCTTAAATGGAAATATTTACTCTTACTGAAACTATAGTGCTGTATATTATGTAAGTCATTGGATTGATTTTGTCATGCTAAATTAACCTAATTCGGGCAAATACATGCTTTACCTTTCATAATTTTTACTTATGTGGGGGGGGGGGGTGATACAGTTATGACCAGCTTTAAACGGAATAAAATTAATCTTTGGTCATGTTATGTAACAGAGATCAGAACTTTTGTGTTGATTATCGTTAATCTTGAACGCTTGATCTCGATATCCAATGTGGGCACATTTAATTTGAGGATTATGATGCTTGATCCATTGATTTGAATTATCCCTGAAAAGAGAAAAATTACGATCCACATTGGATATCGAGATTAAGCGTTTAAGATTAATAATACTCCATTCATAAGTTCGAACCTCTGAACAGTTCATTGTTACACCGGACATTTAATCATTTTTCAAATCTAACGATTAAAGACGACTTTTTAATCTGATTTTGCAATTCAAGCATTGCAGGGAATCTTTTTCATGTTTTAATCTTTCTTAAATTTTCTAGGATGTTTCTATTTAGATTGGCGCATTTTCAAAAATAATCAATATCGACTTTTTTTTCATGGCAAAACTGTTAATCGTTGACGGTCTTACATTCCCTGTAGGTCAGATGAGTTGCCATAAAAAATTGGGACAAGATCGGTTTAGCCGTGTTGGCGTTTGTTGGACACATACAGACAGACACCCAGACAAATATACACCAAGATACTCCTGATATATATTGTATCTCTCTCTTTTTCTGTATATGATAAAGAAATGTCATTAAGAGCATAAATATACGATTGATGTACATTATATTCTATGTAATATGTATATTGACGGGATACAGTTTGAATTCAATATTACACATTAATATATATATATATATATATATATATAATATAGATACTGCAATGTCATCTATATATAAATTTAGCTTGTCTGTCTGTTTGTTTGTATCCAATAAACGTCAAAACTGCTGAACTGCTGAACTGCTGAATTTGGGCCGATCGGGCCCAAATTTTGTGTGGGTTTATGAATGATCAAAATTTAAAAAAATTTGTATTTAAAAGTTTTTTGTTTTGTAAAATTTTGAAAATGCGCAAAAAAATATTATGAAATCCGCAAACATTTTTTGTTTTTGTTTTATATTGTACAAAGAGAAGATGATCAGAGATAAAGCCACAATTAAAAGTTAAAATATAGAAGATGGGCGCGAAGCGCCCTAAAAGCCTAGTAATATACATATGCCGCCTCTCCCCACGCCTAAAAAAATGTCATTGAGAGCAATGCCATAGATTTGTGATTGATTTACAGTATATTCTATGTATATTTACAGAATAAAGTTTGAATGCAATATTACACATTAATATATTTACTGGATAAAGTTTGAATGCAATATTACACATTAATATATTTACAGAATAAAGTTTGAATGCACTGGATAAAGTTTGAATGCAATATTACACATTAATATATTTACGGGATATAGTTTGAATGCAATATTACACATTAATATATTTACGGGATAAAGTTTGAATGCACATTAATATTTTTACGGAATTAAGTTTGGATGCATTATTACATATTAATATATTTACGGAAGTTTGTATGCAATATTAGACATTAATATTTTTTACGGAATAAAGTTTGAATGCAATATTACACATTAATATATTTACGTGAAGAACTAAAGATTATTTGCAATTAAATATACTCTAGTAGAGACTATACATCGATATTAAAAATATATATATAGATACTGCAATGTCATATAGATACAATACAATACGTACTTATATCTTTATCGAGAATATTTCATTTCCAATCCGTCCTGGTATTTGCCGAATACAATATTTTCTAAAATGTTTTGGAATTGTTGCTTTCAAAGGAAACAGATTGAAATACATTTTTCTAAGAAAACCTCTACTCCATCTATTACGACTCAATAGTCAATTTTTCGATGTATTTTCACTTGTTTTAAAATTACTTTATTTCCCCAGCACGAAATTTTCTCGTTAGAAAGATAAGCAATGTTGTTCTTGGTTCATTTTTAGAAAGTATAAATTGAATTTATTCCGAAAAGAAATATCTTGATCGGCCAGTAGCAACAAATCAAAAGCAAATAACCTCGAGAATGTTCAATATATTCGACAACAACAAACAACTAATATATGCCGCAAATAAGTGAATGAATATATGTTTTTGTTTGCAACAATTGTGTACTGCAGAGTTTTGGGGATTATAAACAAAGCAAAGGTTTGTACACTAGTACAGGGTTACACTCAAAGGACAAAACAGAACTGAGTTTCCTCCATTCTTTCATTAAAAGAATTTATTTAGGCAAATCCTATGTTCAGCCTTTTAATAGATATTTAAAGAACTTTAGGTCGTCATAAAAGTTTCATCCTTTGTGGGTAACCCTGTATATATATATATATAACCCTGTATATATGTGGGTAACCCTGTATATATATATATAACCCTGTATATATGTGGGTAACCCTGTATATATATATATATAACCCTGTATATATGTGGGTAACCCTGTATATATATATATATAACCCTGTATATATGTGGGTAACCCTGTATCTTATAGCACCTTAACAAAGCTAAACTTGAGGAAGACTGAGATTGTCACTTTATAGCTGCGAGGGGGATTCCTTGTATATTTTCCTTGACTGAAGAAAACCTGAGCTTATGTCAAAAACATTTTCACAGAAAAATGGAATGTAATTTTCACTTAATGCACCCATAGAATTATATTTGTGTGATGGTACAAAAATATTTTTATTTTTAGAATCTTGATTTAGAATTGTATAATTTAGATTTTATATAAATATTTGTTTTCCATGTGAAAACCCCGTGAAACACAATGTCTGACAACCCCCTTATACAATTAAAATAAAGTAAAAAGTAAAAAATTATTTATATATGAAATATAATAAAAACATACAAATAAAGTGTTTCAGGAGAAAATATTTTAAAATCTCTAAAAGTAGAGGTTGTGGGAATATTTCCCCCCAATTCTAAAAAATTATAAAAATAGAAATGAAAGGAAAAGGAAAGGAAAGGATAAGGAAAGTTAATCTTATCTGTTTTTATGACGGCTCAATCTTGATCATCTGACCATAAATATAAAAATGAAAAAGAAATGATAATGGCAAGCTTTTTAGATTCCGATTTTAAAAATCCTGAATCCATCCTTTTTTTCGATTAAAAACTTTTCTGACATATCAAACATTTTGATTTTCTAAATTCAATAATTTTCTTTTTTTATATTTTGTCGACTAGCCTTCTCTGATAAAATTTTTGCTGCAGCAAAGTCTGTATATGTGCAAAAATTATTAAAAATAAAGAATTGTTATAATTTCGCACATTCCTGGGTATTTGCACTCCTGTACCGTGAAAACTGTAACTAGGAATGTTTGCAGTGCAGTTTCCGTGCAAAACATGCTAATTTTAACCAAGGCCGAAAAATGTAAAAAAAGTGTCAAAAATTGTCTTTTAAGTATCTCCGACTGTTATAGGTTATTCACAGAATATGAAACTTATTAAAGTCTCATCCTTTGTGAATACCCCTGCATGTGGCTAGTGTGGGTGGGTGGGGACATTATATCCTCATCAAGACCTCGCCACGTGGTAGAGGTCGGGGCATAATCCTCGTAGCAACCTACAACCACAGATTAAAAAGACTGCTCTAGAAGAAACCTAAAGAACTAGATAATAAAGAGAATTTTTTCCTAGAAACATGGAACCAGAGATTAAAAAGACTAGACACTTCCTTGTAAACCCCTTGGAAACCTCCTTGAAAACCCCTTTAGAAATCCCCTTGAACACTTTTTGGAACCCCCATGGAAACCCCCTTGACACCCTCTTGGAAACCCCTAAAAAAATATTCCTTGTAAACCCCTTGAAAACGTCATTGGAAACATTTCTTGGAAACCCCTTAGAATACCCCCTGGAAACCTCCCTTGGAAGGTCCTTAAAAACCCCCTTAGAACCCCCCTTGGAAACCTCCTTAGAAACCTCCTTAGAAACCTCATTGGAAACCCTTTGGAAGCCCCTTGGAAAACTACCAGGAAACCTCCCTTGGAAGCCCATTGGAAACCCCTTGAAAATCTGCCGGAAACTACTCTGGAAACCAAAGCCTCTTCTTATTGTATGAAGTCATACTTTTATTTTATTTTATTTTTAACATTAGAATTTGTATTCCACTAGTTTGATTTTTGTTATTTTATTTTATTTTTAAGATTAGAATTTTTGTTCAACAAGTTTGATTTTTGTAAAAACAATATGAATAAAATATATGGAACTGTTAAAGTTGCAAGTAAACATTTCAAAAGCATTTCCAATAATGGGAAAACACAGAGCATACATTTCTGATTGCCTCTATACAGGGGCGTATTCAGGAATTTGTCCAGGGAGGGGGCTTAATTTTTTTTTATCTTTCCAGGGGGGGGGCTCAGCACCCGTTGGGGCATGAAAACCCCCTGAAAT